TTGGAGAAGGGCTTCCCGTTGTAGGCTATGGTTCCGACGAGTCGTCCGCCGAGTCGGCCGCCCAACGCTGTGAGGAGTGTGGTTTTTCCGGACCCGGATGGACCCAACATGGCCAGCATCTCCCCTGGATGGACCACGCCGCTTATTTCTTTCAGAATCGTTTTCTCTTCCGAATTGGGCTTCTTTGGAATGAACAGCCCTGTCTTTTTCGATTTGATCTTCTTGTAGTTTACGTCATGAAACTGCATCGGATTAAAGAATGTTCAAATACCCGTCAAAAAAGGAAAGAACTTGTGTATAACAAACTTATCTCACAAAATCAATTGGCAGTTAAAAAAAATAGCCCATTATATTTATATTATAAGCTATTTAGTCTTTCGATATGGGATACTTAATATGTCCTTCAAAATTGTATCTCCATTTTTAGATGGGATGTTCGACTTTTAATTTATCCATATTAAAAAGATAAATGATCTAACAAAGATTTATAATATAAATAAGTTACTTTCTGGTTATCAATTCGTTTTGAGATGAAAATGAATCTTGATATTGGAAAATATGAATATGAATTTGGATTACCATCAACGTGACAGGGGGATTTGGCTTTGTGAAGAAGGCGGCGGCTTCTGAAGGATCAGTCTTTTTCTTCGTGTGAGCCTCGATGTCGTCTGTCATTTTTCTTACTCTGTTTTGTACTAATTTCTTTATCCTCTCTCACTTTGGAAGAGAGGGAAAACGAGGAGTGAGAGAAAGAAGAATGAGGGACGTAGCTGGTGATCTTTTGCTTTGAGTAACCAGTTTCTTTGGGAGTTAAAACAAAGGTGAGTTTTCGCATGCAAAGCAAATAAAGCCGAGTGCAAACTATATAAGAGAGAATTGGTGCATGGAAACAAGCTTTTGCGGCTCCTTAACTATTTTTGGTCAAAGTTTGGTTAAATTTTTGGAATAATACTTTCTTGGCTACTAACTCGAGCATAAAATTTCTTACCATTCATATAATGGAAGGAAATCATCCTAATATGACTAGTTTACAAAGAAATTACACATATCTTGAATATGTATCTAATAGTTTTTTTATTACAACAAGTTGGAGTAAGGGATTCAAACTCGTAACTTTTTTTATTCGATATGAGTATCGATTACTGTTGGACTAAGTTCACGTTAATAATATATATCCAATGATTATTAGGGGACCTACATAATTATGAATATTTATTAATTTAATAATTATTAAGAATAGATACACTGGAACAGTCAGCGTTCAATAATTCTTTCTGTTATCATTACTAAACTTTTTTAAGCTATTTACTTTCTCAAAGAAAAGAAAGAATCTCTTCTCTCTCGCTCCCTCCCTCCATATCTCATTCCCACGTGGCAAATATTTAATGCTTCCAAATAAAAAGGAAAGTATTTTCCCTCAGATTACGTGGATCTGTCCTTCAGAACAACTTTTCAAAGTTTGTTTGAATGCTCAATTATAAATTCAGCAATAAAACATGGAAGATTTATTTTTTTCCTAGGACACGTCAGGTGGAGATCTCTAATATTCTTTCATTGAGCTAAAATTTACAAAATAAAAAAATAAAGAGACCAAAATGAACATTTCAAAATAATAAATACCAAAATAAACCAAAATAAATAATATAGAAACCAAAATAATATTTTAACCTTAAATTTATTGACAAAACATAAAAAAGACGAAGCCGTTGAAAAAACCAATGAATTAAAAAGGGTTCGGGAAAAAAATAAGAGTACATATAAAGGAATCCATTTTTATTTTATTTTTATTTTTGAATACAACAACATGGCGTGGATTTGAACTCATTATCTTTTGGTTAGAAAGGGGTGTTTTAACGAGTCAAGCTAAGCTTATGTTTGTCAGTCCTTTTTTTTTAAGAAAAGGAAAATAATTAGACTGTTTAGGATCCATTTGACAACGATCTCTATTTTTAGTTTTCGATTTTTCTGTTTTCTGTTTTTGGATTTTCATTTTTGCTTTTTAAAAAACAAAAAAACTATATATGTCTAATAACTATTCTTTTGTATTTTGTATTTAAAAAAATAAAAAACCATACATGTTTCATAATCATTTTGATTTTCATAAATTAAAAACCATAAAGTAAAGATAACAATAGGGTAGGGTGAGAATCAAGATTCCCTCCCCATCCTCGTCTTCGTGAATTTTTTTAGTTCTTGTCTCCACCTCATTCTCCGATTTTGGAAATCGAGATTAAATTGAGGAATTCTCATTAGGGCCGAGGATTTTTTGTTTAGGAACGAGGATAATTATCGATTTCGTAATTAATCTTAGTTATTATAGAATTTTAAAAATAAAAGAGTAATAACTATATATATATTATATCTATTTTACGAAAAAATTTATTATTTGTTAGTATAAATAATTAGTTTTAAAAAATATATATTAATTATTTAAAAATAGAATTGGGGCCCGGGTCGAGATATGGAGGGAAATGCATTCCCTAGGGTGGTAACCTGAGTATGCAAAGCTTTTTATCATCCCTGACGTAGAGACCTAAAAAATAAAAGCTTAAAAAAATATCCAAAGAAAAGAAAATTTCAGTGAGAGAAGTTTGAATAAAACAACAAATTTTAGATAGATTGGTTATTGGAAAATAAAATGAGATTCTGAAAAATTAAAATATGTTTTAAAATTTATCTTTTCTTAGTTTGATAGAATTTTAAAAAGTAAAAAATATAAAATTAAATTTGATATAAAACAAATATCGTTTTAAAAAAACAAAAAACAAAAACAAAAAATTAATAATAGAAAACGAAAGGATTATCAAACTTGTCCATTAATTTAAACTTTCAAGAATGACAAGGAATGACAATAAACTGGAGTGAAAGTTGTCACGAACGTATCTCTGTTTCTAAAAACTTGGGATATATTTGGGTTTTTGGGTTGAATAGCCTTTCTCAAAGACTCATTATGAAATGTGTCACTCTAACTCATTTTTATGTTGTCTAAATATTTGCTGACATCACCATCCTACACCTCCACTTAACATACTTGAAATTTTTACTTTTTCCCCATTTTTCATTTGAATCTCATATTCTCTCCCCTTCTCCATCTTCTCATTCTTCTTCTCTCTCCCTCATCTCTATTTTTAGATTTTTACGGATTTCAACATTCTCATTTTTTTCTTCAAAATTTTTAGAATTTTATGAATTTCAAACTTTCTCTTTCTTTAAATTTTCTCAAAATTAAAATGAAAAGATTTTTTAGATTTTTCTCCACCTTTCTCATCTATTTCGTTTTTTTTTCAGTTTCACGTGAATCAATGAAAAATCATTCTCCTCTGTTTCATTTTTTTCGGAAAAACTTTTGAGTGTTCTTTGACCAATGAAATACGCTATTTGGGTTCTGTAGAAGAACTTCATTTTTTTCTAACTGGAAAATATCCCCATTATGGAGAAAATCAAAGCGAGATTGAAGAAAGAGAAGGAGAGAAAGAGGGAAAGAAAACAAGAATAGAGAGAGAAAGAAAGGGAAGAGAAAAAAAAAGAAAAGAGAGAGAGAAAGAGAGAGAGAGCCAACAAGAAAGAGAGCGAGAGATCAAACGAGAAAGAGAGCGAGAAGAGAGAGAGAAAGAATCCGGATTATTTGAATTCTGTTACTAATTTGAAGCGGAGATTAAGGAATCATATTCCAAAATTATAAAATAAACACAATTTTTAGTCGTTGTATAATTTTTTTAATTTAATTTTTAATAAATTTGAAACTTCATTAATATTTAGTTTTTAAAATCCCATTAATTGGAAAAAATTTTCATTTGAGCCTGCAATCTACTATTAAAATAAACTATGAGAGGTAGAGAATAAATTAATTGTAGAGTAAAGGATAGATGAGAGATAAAAGAAAATGTTTTGGATGAGAAATTAAACTTTAAATTTGAACCTCAATCACAACAAAAATTACGGGAGAGAATAAAATAGAGATAAGAAAACCAATTAAAAAAATACATTTGGATTAAATTTTAAATTTGAATATCATTTATGATTAAAGTTAATGAGATTTAAGGAGCGAAAAATCTTTAATCTACAGATCTTGATTATTTACTAATATTTTGAAATTAAATTTGACCAAACTATTTCAAAATTTATTTATTTAATTCAATTTGATTGAATTAATATCGTTTATGATTTCATTTAAATTAACCAAATTTATTATATTTTATTAAAAGATGTTTTATTTAAAAATTTTGAAACTATTCCCTTTATAAATTTGATATGCAAATCTTTTCAAAAAAGAAAAAAAAATTCAGGTAAATCACCTAAATACACTGATATTTAAAAAAAATGAAAAAGGAAAACTGAAACTGGGGATTCCCCACTGATATTAAAAAAAAAAAAAAAAAAAACTGAAACTGCAATCCCAGACCAGGATTGCATAAGTCCGGACCAGAACATAAGCCCGGACCAGTTCGGAATTGCAGTTCTTGTCTCGGCTTATGCAATCCCGGTCCGGGATTGCAGTTTCAGAATTTTTTTTTTAATATCAATGGGGAATCCCCAATTTCAGTTTTCTTTTTTTTTT